TAGGAAGAAGAAAAAGGAAGCAGAGCTCCAGAACAAAAGTTTTTGGCCAAGCAGCTTCTGGAAAACTAAAACAACAAAGTACTCTGCAAAAATGTAAACCTAAAATCCAGATCAAGCTCTGGAGTCCACACAGCCCAAAGTGAGCCAGGCCGGGAGTTCCCCGCCAGAGGGCAAGGTAAAGCTGGAACAGGACCAGGTACCTCTGGCACGCTGGCGGGAGCCACCAGAAGACGTTGTGTGTCCCCATGAACAGGTAACCATGGGATGGCAGTGACTGGGAAACTAAAGAACAAGGAGCATGTCTTCCATTCATTCATCTTTTTTTTTTTTTTCATTTTAAAAAATTGAGCATAACTCACAAACCATAAAATTCACCATAATCTGAACAATTCAGAGGTTTCTAATACATCCGGAAGGGCAGAACACTATCACAACTATCTAACTCAAGGACATCTTCGCCACAGAGAATCTTTGTATCCATTAAAGCTGCTCTCCATTCCCTCCCCTCTCACTGTTGGCAACAACGGATCTACTTTCTGGGTCTATAGATTTGCCTATTCAGGGCATTTCATAGAAATGGAATCACATGATTGTGTCTGGTTTTACTCAGCATAAAATGTTCATGATTGTGTCTGGTTTTACTCAGCATAAAATGTTCATGCTACGTGTCATAGCATGAATCAGTATACTTCACTCCTCTTTATTGCTAAATAATATTTCATTATATGGTTATACCCTCTTTTCACTCTCAATAAAGCAGCTGAAAAATAACCAGCCTGAATTTTATCTAAAAACTGTTATTGTGAATACTGAGGAGTCCACGCCCTGCATTTCCCACACCAGACCACCTGACTACTGCAGTGACTAAACCAATGCTGTGGAGACAGAGCCTGTGTAGAAGACCATTCCTTTTTATTTATTTATTTCTGATATGAAGTCTTGGTCTGTTACCCAGGCTGGAGTGCAGTGGCACAATCTCGGCTCACTGCAACCTCCGCCTCCCAGGTTCAAGCAATTCTCCTGCCTCAGTCTCCCAAGTAGGTGGGATGACAGGTGTGCACCACCACACCTAGCTAATTTTTGTATTTTTAGTAGAGACAGTGTTTTACCATGTTGGCCAGGCTGGTTTTGAGCTCCTGACCTCATAATTAGCTTACCTTGGCCTCCCAAAGTGCTGGGATTACAGGCGTAAACCACTTCGCCCAGCTAGAAGACCATTCTTAATGTGCTTGAAAACTAATACTGCTATGATGGCATCTTTTTCATTTGTTTTTGTGTTTGAGACAGGGTCTCACTCTGTTGCCCTGGCTGGAGTGCAGTGGCACAAACAAGGCTCACTGCATCCTCGACCTCCCTGACTCAAATGATCCTCCCGCCTCAGCCTCCTGAGTAGCTGGGACCACAGGCACATGCCTCCATGCCTGGCTACTTTTTAAATTTTTTATAGACACAGTCTTGCCATGTTTCCCAGACTGGTCTCAAACTCCCTGCTCAGGTTCCCAATCAGGCCGCTGCCCCGGGCTTATGATGACACCTTAATGGGCAATTTTAAACAATTATTAACATCTGGCAATAATATAAGGCAGCAAGGCATGTCAAATGTAAACAGGTGGAAACTGTTTTCTTGATCAAACCTATTGTAAGTGAATGAGGTAAAAACCTGAATTCTCAACCTACAAATCAATTCCTGGGGAAGGGAAAATGTTGCATTACAATGAGGGCAGGGATTTTCTCACTCAGACCCCATTATAAAGATTAACTAAGGTCCCTTTTCACATCATTGCCTTAGACCAGGGTTTCTCAACCTCAGCACTACTGACGTTTGGGGCTGGAGAGTCCTTTGTTCCCGTGTAATGCGGGAGGCTTAACAGCATACCTGGCCTCTACCTACAAACGACAACAGCACACATCCTACCCCAGTGTGACAACCAAAAATCTCTCCAGACATTGCCAAATTTGTCCCAGGAGGCAAAAATGCCCCCTTACCCCTATTGAGAATCACTGTCTTAGAGGAAGAGGGCTTAATCCCCTTTTTACAAAACCAAGCGACTGCACTGAAGATGTTGTTCTATCACTCTTCCATGCTGGACTCCTACGGCTGCATTAACAGGGGTGTTGAGGTTTCTTTCCTGGATATTTGAAAATTCCAGATGCATTCTTTTGTGAAGCGAATATTCCTTTAATCTTTCTACTTAGACCACCAGTCTTCTCCTGGGATCCTATCTTTCGCCCTCAAAATCTGTGACTCACAATAAATTAAGTGCATTTTCCCATGGATTGCTGCCAGTTAACAGATTACTGGTTAAAAAAAAAAAAACCTCAGGCTAAAAGACTTACCTAAGCCACAGAGGGTATCAATGTGCAAACGGGATTTAGAGCTGTTTTTCATCTATAACACCTGAGCTCAGAACAAGAGTGGCTTTAAAGGGGATGCTACTCTGCCCTGCTCATGGTTTTGCAAACCCATGTTGATCTCACACATGAAAGAGATGCACATGACTTGAAAATACCTAAATACACATGCACTTAATTCAAAACTGTGTTGTGCATGATGAACGGCGCATTAGGAAGCCCTAGTCTGGCACCCCTCTATTCCAGAATGTGAAGTGAAAGCTTTAGTCAAGGGTCTCCATCTCCTTTCCCTCCAGACAGAACACACCTGAGACCAAGGTCTGACTATTCTTGTTCCGTTTGTTTGAACATAAAAGTGTATACAGTAAAACGTATTTAGAACTTCTCACTTGGGAAGGTTTCAACATTTTGCCATTTTTATATCCTGGGACTCTCAAAATACAAGGTTTTTCCTTGAAATAGTAAATGTACATAACAGAAACTTAAGCTTGTCAATAAACGATAATTCTATTCTATATATGATCAGCCTCAAGGAAAAGTAATAAGATCCCAGCTCTTCATCAAACCTGTAAGACATGCTTGGCCTGTGGGTCTACAATGCCTCCAGAAAAGATTTTGGCAAAGTATAGCCCATGCACTAAATCTGTGTACACACATACAACCCTACTGCCTGTTTTTGTAAATAAAGTTTTACTGGAACACAGTTCCCCTCATTGTTTACATAATATCTATGGCTGCTTGCACATGACAACAGCAGAGTTGAATAGCAAAAAAAAAGAGGGTTTGGCCTACAAAGCCTGAAAAATTTACTACCTAACCTTTTACAGAACAAATCTGTCCACCCCTAACCTAGTGTAGTGTCGAGTCTAGTATTATAGTCTAGTCCGGTCCAAGGATTAAGCAGCACAGTGCCTTCATAATGTCTTCCATCAGAATGATCCACAAAGACACTCATTGCTTCACCATTTCTAATATTAAAAAGCTAGAAATCAGGGCTGAGTGCAGTGGCTCACGCCTGTAATCCCAACACTTTGGGAGGCTGAGGCAGGTGGAGCACGAGGTCAGAAGATCCAGACCACCTGGCTAACAGTGAACCTGTCTCTACTAAAAACAGAAAAAATTAGCCGGGCATGGTGGCAGGTGCCTGTAATCCCAGCTACTCAGGAGGCTGAGGTTGCAGTGAGCTGAGACAGCGCTGCTGCACTCCAGCCTGGGTGACGGAGTTAAAAAAA